GTGTAGAGTTACAAAAAGGGCTACATGAGTAAAGTCGTCCCTGATTTTGAACTAATAGACTAAAGGGAAGTACTCAACAGTCCTATTACCAACTTTTAAGCCTCCCTCGTCTGATCAAAAAGCGGGACAGTTGACACACCGAGCTGTGGAGTAATGCAGAAAAGCCACCTCGTTCTAATATTAACTTATCTTCGTTATCTTACAATATTATATATATTATAATATGCCACTTGTGTAAATAGTTGGTTTGTTTCCCGACACGACTTAGGAACATCGTCTTTACATTTAATTCCATTAGAATATTTACTATGACGTCTGCTGTGTAACAAAGAAAGCTAGATAGAGTGAGCAACTCTAGCGCTACCTGGTGATAATATTGAACTCCACAGCGAGCCTTGAAATTATCACATTAATTTTTCTACGTTCGTGAAGTTAATAGTTTCGTTTGGAGTTGACTTATTGATTATAAGTATTCTTTTATTACATGTTACAGCTTTTACACTAGGAAAGAATATTGTGAAAAGAGGCACGACGTTTCGATCACTGGTGCGATTATTCTGAAGTACACAAGTTTTAACGGTAAAGAAGGTTTCAGTATTTAAATCAACATTCAACAATCTAATAATGTATTTACATTTTAAAATTGATGGTGGCTACTTATGCACGCGCATATAATAAATCCGTGTGAATTGACAGATTATTTATTTATACCTAACACAAAAACAAAAATTGAATATGTAGGATATGTTGAGATCAGGAATGTTTGGGGTAATAAGGACTACATACATATAGAGATGTGTCTGAGTATTTGTTAATTGTTGAATTTTATTAAAAAATCTTCTGTTAATTTCGGGTTGATGTTTTAATACTATGACATTCAGAAAAACTCTGGTTTCTTTTGTTCACATTAACGTTGAATATTGTGTACTTCAGAACGATCGTCCCAGGTCAAAACGTCGTACCAGTTTTAAAACTGTTCTTCCTTACTGTAAAAGATGTAACTTATAATAACAAAAACTCATAAAGTTGATCCACGAGTAATAACGATAATTCAGATAACGGTTTGTAGCCATAGTTTTTACGGTACTAACGACAATTCAGGCAGCTGTTTGTAGCCATAGTTTTTACGGTACTAACGACAATTCAGGCAGCTGTTTGTAGCCATAGTTTTTACGGTATTAACGATAATTCAGATAACGGTTTGTAGCCATAGTTTTTACGGTACTAACGATAATTCAGATAACGGTTTGTAGCCATAGTTTTTACGGTATTAACGATAATTCAAGCAGCGGTTTGTAGCCATAGTTTTTACGGTATTAACGATAATTCAGATAACGGTTTGTAGCCATAGTTTTTACGGTATTAACGATAATTCAGATAACGGTTTGTAGCCATAGTTTTTACGGTATTAACGATAATTCAAGCAG